ACTGTGCCGAGCACAAAGAAAGACAGCGCGCAGGTGAAGAGCGGCTCGGCGGCCTTGACGGTCTGGGCGAAGGAGACGGCGCCGGCGCCGAGCGCGATCACCGCGCCGGCGTGGCCGAGGGCGTGCGCCGCGCCGATGGGGAGGAGGGTCTTCCAGCCGTCCATGCCTGTGAGGCACGGGCCGGACGCGTCATGGACGTGGCACGGCGACAGCCCCGGTCTTCCCGCCCATCCTCGCCGATCTTAGGAGGCTTGCGGATGCCGGTGCCCCAGAGGAAGAGGACCCACGGGATGCCGACGAAGAGCGAGACCACCGTCATCGTCCACGGCATCGGGAACGCGTTCTGGCACCGCTTGTTGGTGATGTTGTACATCACGTTGAGAAAGTACCACGAAAAGAAGAGGAAGCCTTGCGGCAAGGGGGGGGGGGGGGGGGGCGGAGGCGTGTGCGTCGAGGGGCAGTGCGGGGGCGCGCGAGCCCGACGGGCGCCGAGGGCGGGCTGTCACCTCGCGGTGTGGCCCGCGGTGTAGTGAGTGGGTGGGGCTGCGGTGCCGGGTGCCGGGAAGAGGGGGGGCGCGGGCGGGCGGGCGCACCAAGCTTGGCCTTGTCGACGAGGGCCTGAGGGGCGCTGATCTTGCCAGCCTCCCACGACAGGAGCGTGCACTCCTCGACCTCCTCGCCCGTCTCGATGCACAGCTCCTCCGCGGGCGGGGCAGCGGCGGCCTCCGCCTCCTGCATCAGCGCGAACGGCGCACGGCGCAGTACGGGCGCCGCCGCGACCGGGCGAAGCGGCGAATAGGCGCCGCGGAGGGGAGCGTGCATCGGCGCGAGGGCCGCGCTGGCGTGAAGGAGGGAGAGCATCATGTTGCAGAGGAGGAGGACCTGCGGCGGGTGGCGTAAAGTACGGTGGCGGGGAGGCGCCCCTGCTCACTCCTGGGCGCATGGGCGCGAGCTGCGCGGAGCGTGTGTGGGCTGTGGCGCAGCGCGTAGCGCGCTCTCTCCGCCCGGGCGACGTGGCTCAAAGCTGTGTCTCACTGTGTCACGATTACCTCTGAGGGCGGCCAGTCGACAGCGTCTGCGTGTAATCGATGGTACGAGAGTGTTTGGGAAGCGTTAAAGGCCAAGGTGGGCCCTATTGAAAAGACCCCGATTTTGAGGGGTGTCGGACAAGCTAAGCTCAAGCGCGCTGTCGCTGCCCGAGTTGTGGTCACGTCCCCGAAATCTTCGCCGGCCCCGCCAGCTTGACCGACTGGACCGCGGAGAGGCTGGGCTTGGCCGGCGGCGCGACGCGTGGCCTCTGCTGCGGCCATCTCGGACGCTCAAGCCGCGCCAGCCAGCGGCTCGGCCGCGCATCCTTCACACACGCCGCCACGACCAAGCTGAGCGGGCCCGGTGTCGAGTCATGGTGCGAGATGCATGTCAGGGGCGGCTGTGGCCACAGCAGGTCCACCAGACGGGCGTCAAAGCTTGCCGTCGGCGTGCTGTCGTGGCGAGAGCCGAGACCGCTGCAGAGGAGCCGAGTGCAGTGGCGAGCCAGAGGCTACCAGGGTCACCAGGTGGTAGCCCTTGCCCATTCTGAGCAGGGATGTGCTTTGATGGGGTTGTGCTTGAGCGTGTGTGAAGTGGGAGTGCGTGCCGGCGGTGTCTGTGGCTGAAACGGGCGTGTGTGAGGCTGCAGAGCCGTGGTATGAGCCAGAGTGAGCTTCATCACCCAAGATAAGTGCGGTTTGGGACGGCTCAGACTTGCTGCTGATGGGCCTGGGCCAGGAGAGCGACAGAGAAGGCGAGGTGGTGAGCTGGGAAGCCGCTTTGTCGGCACCTGGACGTGTCGCGATGAAGTGCCAAAAAGTACTATTTGCGGCTATTGCTCCAAACTTCGGGAGACAAGGCCTACATATTATGACTGCATCCATGAGCCTAGTGCATGAGGGCTGTGGGTCGGGACATTTCACAGTCGATGGCGCCGATAATGACCTCCGTAATGCCCTCGCAATCGGCTCGGATGGGGTCCACCGGGGACAATCTCGGAGCCCTCTCCGTGGCATCACGAGCCGGTGTGAGCTTG